TGGTCTCTTCCGCAGATGTTCGTCCGCGACCATGACCACGATCTCTGCACGCGCAGCGTCTGCTGGCTGCCGCCGACCAAATATTAGGCTGGCATTTGCATATCTCATATTTCCCCTTGACCGCGAACGTACACCCTCTCTTCCATAATATATGAGCTCATTCGAGCACTCGCACGCGTGTGGCATGCGGTCCTTCTCAATACTATTCTGACTTCGCTTGACGCGCTTAAACCTAGTCTGTGCTCGACAGGTTTCTCCTTTCTCCGGGAACAGTTTGAATCCGATGCTTCTTGTCGAAAGGGGGCTTAACGTGCCACGCAAATTGGCCCTTCGGGTCAGCGCACGGTGCCGAGGAGTGGGTGTATGATCTTCGTTGTTGCTGGTTTGGCTTGTCAAACTTTGATAGGCATCCGCGCCGTCTATAACGAGCGCGGTGCTACCGTTCTCCTGCTTCGAACGTTTTTGAAGCTATATCAGATTAGTGAGGAACCACGAGGCGATCTGCGAACTTCATTCGGTATGTGGCGTTGCGCCTGTTGAGGTGGGACGTTCTAGGCTAATCATTATTGATTGCGGCCAAGTTCAGCCCATAAGAACCCAGCACTAACCACGGTCACCTCAATCCACGACTCTCACACCCCCTACGGTCTCGCCATGTCAGAGGTATGCGCTCTCTTTGCCCTGCGCTCTGATGTACTCACTGTAAATGTGTCATCGTACCATCCAGGATCGACTCGAGGAGCTTGACCTCCAGCTCTGTGACGCCCGGATCGCCGTGGAACACGCCATCGCGAACAAGGAATCGCTCGCTGTGCAAGAGCTGGCGACTCTCCAAGTCGAACGCGTCGAGCTACAGATAAAGCAGGAGACGGTACGCGCATCGAAGCAGGTGCAACAGGTCCGTCCCATTATCACCCATTCATATCTTTTCATCTATCTAACTGGTGCTATCTCACAGAGCGATCTCGCACTCCATGAACTCGAACTGGCGCTACTCGCACGGCGGATCGACTGCTCTACCTTGGCTATCACCGGCGCTAGCGATGCGCAGACGCGCCTTGCGGATCTGCAACTTAAGCGCGCGGTGTTGCTCCTATCGCAACACAAGAAGCGCGCTCTGCGCCCAGCCCCTTCAATCACTTCGCTGTCGGCATCTACTGCAGCGACGATTAGCTCGAGCGACCTATTAACCGGGCCTGCGCGCTTGCCTTCTCGAGATTTGATGTCCGCTCCCGATGCCTCATTCCATTTGTCATCCGGCCTCTCATCTCCTGAACGCCTCTGTCTGTCTCCGTCGTTGCTCGCTTCGCCTTCTCGGGACTTGTCGCCTCGCGCTTCCTCGTCGGGCTCTGTTCATTCGTCGCCCAGTGCTCTCGCCGACAAGGCTGTCGTACTTGACGCCAGACCCAGTCATGCTGTGGCTGTCGACGACCGTAACGAAGACGCAGATGACACTGGCGACGTCGAGCGTGAGCTCATTGGGGAGAATGCACGCCGACCCGCAAGTGTCGCCCGCGATGCGCCGAAGCCTCGCAAGGACTCGAACACCATCATCGACATCGACGACGCTGGGGTGGCCCGTGATCTTACCCCGCCGTGCGGTCCGTCACACTCGAAGTCTCCCAAGACCCTCCCGCCTGCCGATATTGAGCCTGGCGACGGCGCCGCCGCGCTGGAGGACGAAGACGCCCCGTTCATGTTCGAAGGCTCTCCCCATGCGCCCAGGACCGTCCTGGAAGCTCGCGCGAACAAGTCGACTTCGCCGCTGAAGGCATTAATCAATGAGCGCATGAACAAGTCGGCTGCGCCGCAGAAGGCATCTCCAAAGGCGGTTACCAAACCGGGCAAGTCCGTGGCGGCCACGAAGAAGAGCGGCGGATACAAGGAGCCGACCGCTCATCCGCAGCGCTGGATGTACCGTGTTCTCAACTTCGGTGCGGCGGCTCTACGGACGTCTTCCGACTGGCCCGATCCTGTCTGCCGCGAAGTTGGTGCACTCTGGGCAGCAGTTTTATCTTGGGAGATTCGGAACAAGTTCAAGGTCAGTTTTCCCGTACTCATATCAACGCGTACTCACTGGACGGCCACTAGGATGGGACTGCCAAGGCGCCTGCACAATCGCCGCTGATGGGGAACATCGTGTCCAAGTCACGCTTCGGGCCGAACTTCCACGACGTCATCAAGAAGGAACCCAATTTCTCTGTCAACGTTGCCCGCTGCATCCATTCCCTTCGCCAGTCGACGCTTGCGGAGGTGATCAAGATGCACGGCAAGCATGGCATTGCGGCAGTTGCGCGCTCTCTCATGGAGGCCTACAACGGCGACAAATCTTTCGCCGTCTCCTTCTTGCCCCTCGCTCGTGAACTCACAACGGTTCTGGACATTGCGACTGCAGTGCCTCCCATTCTCGCAGACGACGGTGACGACGACAACGACAATGCCCAAGGCGTCAATCTCACCGGTACAGTGCTCGAAGCCCTCAACGCCCGGGACGGTTACGATGCGGCTCCCGCTACTCGTACTATACAGGCGCTTCTGGTGCTTGCAGGCGACGGGAAGAAGCGCGATGCGTCGCACCTGGAAGCTGAAGCCGGGCCTTCCAAGCGTGCTCGCCGTTTGCCTGACGAATAAACTTGCCTATAGTAATATCATCTCTCTCGCCCTCTCGGCGCTCTCTTGCTGTGTATATACTCTTGTTCTTTGATGCTTCAGATACTGCTAAACAAAACATGGCTTGATTAGGAAATGCGCCGAAGGCCGCAAGAATTTAAGAGAGAAAAGCCCGTGTGCGAAGATGACCGCGACGCGTCGAGCCCCATGACGCGCTCTCGCGTGCGCACTGGCAATCTTGTCTTCCACTTCCACCACCTCGTCTTCCCACGACGGCGTCTCTGCTAGCTCCCTCCTGTTGCTAGCGTTCACGGTGCGTGTACTGACTAGCTCATCATTGAGCGTGAGCTGCGCTGACCCACCGCTGTACTTAGACGCTTAACAATTGCTGGGGGTCGAGGGGAGTCGGTAAGATTACCTGCTCGCGTCTGCTTATCCCATGCACTAAACGACTTTGCAGGCGGTCACTACTTGCAGTGGGCGGGTAACGATCCCAGCTGGCTATCAGCCGAAGTCACACCAACACACAATGTATAGTTCAAAGAGTCTATATGGATATGCTTTCATCTCTACCTTAACGTGCCTCATGCAAGAAGGGGTGCCGCGCGCTCACTGAACACGCTGGGCTGCTTGCGATGCCGCCCTCGTGATGACGTTGGCCCTTGACCATTGACCTTCGTCGGGCTGATTGCGAGCCACAGTCTTCCACGACTTTGGCTGCCGGGCCACCAAACGTGACAGCGTGGTGCCATGAGGATCATCTTGCGCGTTCCACACCCAGTGGCAGTGCTCCGCTAGCTCTAGGATGATTCTATACTCGGACCAGAAGAAATTTGACTCGTCGTCAAGTATCTGTGCGGGGGAGTTGGGAGAAGTTACGAAGACGACAGTGGTAAGAGCATCGTACCTTCTTCGAACGAGCCGATACCCATCCCATTGTGACGGTATCATCGCGGTCCGTGTGAGGAGATGCGCCGTATGCGAACGATCCAAAGGATGCGGTGTTAGGGAAGCCTAAGGAATTGATTAGGTTACTGCGTGTAGCCACCAGCTAGTTAGGTCATGAGCCTTCGCGTTTCCGTTTTAGCACGACTGACAGATGCACGCACCATCTGCTCCTTCGCCAACATGGGCATGAAGCCCTCCAGTAGCATGTAGTTACATGATTGAATGACTGCGGTGTAGCCAAGAATGTTCAGAGAAAGTGTTGGTCTATCAAAGCGTCAAACTCACATGCACTGTTGGCTTTGACTTCTTTGCGAAGCTTTTGTTGCTGTACGATACGGGCTTTCTTCCACGCGCTTTTGCCTTCAGGTTCAGTTGGCACCTGGGGTGTATGAAGGATGCCATTAGTTGCCGTGGCACCAATCGAAGTCTTGACCATGGCTCCGAACTGATCCAGGCCTCGCTCGAACCCTTCACGATACCTGTCATAGTCATGTCAATAGATGCAACGCTGGAGAACGATCTGTTGCTGACTGAAGATGTTGTACAAGCTGAGCCATCTCCAAAGCCAGCACTTGCTGCGAGATTTCAGAAGCCTGGGCCGTAAGGATTTCAGCATTGTATATTCCGCCACCGAACTGCGCGCCAATCAGAATTCCAGATCCACGCAGATGAAGGATAGCTCACTATATCAGATTGTTTGATGGTATTGTCTTTGACCGTCTCCGCGTTGTAAAGAATGACAGCTTGGAGGCCAGCCTCAGGTGGTGGTTTCACGATACGCTGCCACGTCTGGTCCACTAGCAAGATTTCGGACGCATCAAGGGCGCCGGACTCGATAGCTATACGCCTGATCTCCTTACTCTCAACGATAAAGCGCTCATCTAGGTTGCCTTTGCCGTTGCTCGCCGTGGCCCTAAGAGAGTCAGTTTCCAATCCTATACTGCGAGTAGCTGGAAGGGTAGACTAACTTGCGGCAAGGTATATAGTGGGCCTGGGCGGCCGCCATCTGACCCGCCACACGATACTGCTTGAGAGTCGCTTGGCGCGCTTTTGCAGATTGTACAGCTGCACGGACGTCCGTGGCACCGTCAAGTTTTGGCGAGTTAACAAGGGATACGAAAGTGTTGTACAGCGAGATCCAGAACTTCTTGCGTTCCGCGATGTCTTGCAATTCGCACTGGCATAGCGTCATCATCTCAAGCATGGTTTCAAACCCAGGACGGAGACATACCAAGTGCCACAACTCGGTCCACTTTGACTGCACACGCATTAGTCATACAATGTAGTAAGATTGAACGAAGATGGACAGACTGTAATCCAAAAGGCCGACATAGGATCGGCCCGTGTGGTGCCAGCCGTTGTGCGGTTCATGCATTGAACTAGTACTGGGCGAAAATGGGTATGATAGAAAGCCCATGGCGTGGTGAGTGCGTGCTCTGCTTCTGTGGCGTCCTTTTCTTCATTGTAAGGACTCTGCGCGCGGGGAAAGCCATAGGCTATTTGCTCGCAGATGAAACGAACCGCACCGCGGCAGTTCTGCGGCGTAGATTCGCGTTCAGAGACGATCGGCTGGGACCGGAAATCCGGGCGCAGTACTCTCGGCCTATCTTCAGACTCGCCTGGAAGCTTGTACTGGGTTCGCAACGTCCGGTTCGTGGTATCTACAAGACGAGTAAACGACAGCACGTGAACAGGACCAACAATTTTGACTCACGCGACCCATTCCCCGGCGGTGGTGTAGGCCAAATGTCCCATAAAGGGGTCAAAGGCGATAGCAGGCGGTCATCTAGCACCAGTCGGTCAGAAATATCAGACGGAATAAGTGGCAAGGTGTCGTACCTTCTGTCTCGTTCGCAGTCGCTCTTGCAGCGTATACGTCCAAACCAGGCAAGTCACTGATAGACATGCGAGGTCGTTCTTTCCACTCAACAGGGGAGGGCGCAGGCCGCATCTCGGGCTCTTCGAGACCACCAGGGCTCTGACCAAGATTAGTAGCCATATCATTCGGGTCCCGGCTCAATGACCGTGCCGAGACATCCAAAGCATGGTTAAGAAGATCGCGCCCGTTGGTTGTAGTTTCCGCACGAAGACGCTTGGAAATCGAAGTCGGATGGGATGCCATTGCGGGAACGCTGAGAGGGTGGTGGGGGAAGAGAGAGATGGATTGAGCACTGAGCTGGCATCCCCCAACTTACGTTCAGCACGAGGCATACATCACACGAGATCGCGGTGAGGCCCGCAGCCTCTTTGAACCGCCCCCGCCAAGTAACACCGGCAATCCATAGATACGAAAGGACGGACAGGAATCCGAATGACTATCAACGGTAACAGGGGACGAGTATCATAGACGTCAGAGGGTCTTGAGTATATAAAACATAAAATGATCCAATATCTTGAGCACGACGCGCACGCTGTGAGAACTACGTATGCCGGGGTGAAGACGTGGGGGATGGAGGTCTTGGACACTGTTAAAGCTGGGCCTGGTCTGTGCATCAGCATTAAGGTATGAACTCGCGAATTAGACATAGCGCACGTCCTCCAGAGCCGCGCTTCAGGCCTCAATATCCTCGATAGACGGTTCATCGGTACAGAGTCGGCTTATGGTTGTGGAGCTTCAACCTTGGAAGTGGAAACCACAATCTCCGACTCGTGTACGCAGGCAGGTGGCTTGTAGGGCAAATATCAACTCCACATACTGACGAAGGCGAGTGAGATGATGTACGCAGGCAAGATGCCCGTGAGCACGCACCCCTGACACCCGAAGTCCGATGGCTGCACGTGCCCCGAACAGCCGAAGGCGACACGATCACGCCCCTTGAACCAACGTGCGCGGCTTGTCTGCTTCGGCGCTGACAGCATTCATGAGCGCTCAAGTTGGGTAGAAGACCCACGCATCCGTACCAGTACGGAATACCGTCTTCGATATGTAGTATGAGGTGTTGACACTTGAGTCTCCCAACGCTCAACCAGGCCGCTGTAGGAAGTCCGTGCTTGCCCATGCCAATCTTCGGCTGCGGAACAGCTGAGGTGAATGGATAGGGCACCGGCGCCGGAGGGCTGGCAGCACGGAGAGGGGCAAGCGCTGGTCTTGGTTGGAGGTCAAGCTCAAGTCGACGTCCGACGTCGGCCTCGCTTATTTATATATGGGCGAGGCTGAAACATTTCGGAAGCTCGCACGTGGTGGCAGCACATCCAGACCCACCTTCGGCAAGCACTCAGGGATGGACGCTTGCTGTAGAGACCCTACCAGAAGGTCATTATCATCCGCTGATTAAGCAGTGCTATCACAGAGGAAGTCCGTTAGATCTTCCTTGTCTCGGTGTACCCAATGCAAGTGGATGAAGGCGCCAGCGACCCACGCCTGGTCAAACTCGGACTTGCAGCTGACCCGGGGTGCACCGAATACTGATTTCGCGCGGTCACTGATCTCTATCGCGCTCGACACCTTTTGGTTACCACATTTACCGCTGAGATAGGCCCCACTACATGTATAATCTGTACGCAGTGCGGCACCCTCGACCGTTGCGCTCTTGTTTCGGCACGCTCGCTCAGGCCGGCAGACTCGATCGAAGGCGCACCGGTCGGTCGCGCGCGGGCATATTCGCAGGCGATTGCCGCCAGGACCCGCCATTAGCGAAGGCGGCGGGCCATAGGCCGGCGGGGGACTCATCTATCTATCACGAAGTCCACGAGGCAAACATACATATGTGTAGGAGATACAAAAGGACAGGCGGCAGTAAAGCAGGATAATCTACCATCAAGCCATTCCATGTAAAAGATCACTCAGACGTAGGGCGGTGGGTGACCAGCTACTCAAGCAAGTAGTCCCTGGAATATCATTGGAGCGGCGACAGATGGTCTTTGGATGTCGCGAGGTAACCCCATTTCCGACCATTCATCTCGACTACATCCGTGAACATTATTGGGCCAGCACGGGATTTGCGGGAGCGCGAGTAAGTTCTAGTTACGCAACGCTTTAGCCATCGCCCACGAGGCGAGAGAGTGCTCTACTGACCTCACGTCGACCCTTGCGCTTTCTTCCTCGCCATCGCCATCAATACCTCCAGTTCAGGCATAGTCAGATCGGTCTTTTTCTTGTACGGACCTGGGGACCCCATGTGAGCTCGTACATGGAGAATGCGTTCAAACTCACCTCTTTTTAGTCCTTTCCGCTGTTTGTGAACGTTATCCACGCAAGAGGTACCCGTCCCACAATGTTGACAGCGACCGCATGGGCGTACGTCGTCACACCTCTTGCCAGCTTTGGAGCAATTCGTGCACTGAAGCGGCGAACATGTGAGGCAGACCAGATTTCGTTTCCAGCAAGGAGTAAAGGCATACAGCTATCCTAACATGTCGTCGATCCGTCGATCCTGACTATGATCTCACTTAGTTAAACCACTACAGCATACGTGATAGCACCTACGGAATCAAGCGGCTGGTAAGGCTTCCCCCGCCGGCGTTTCTCGGGCGGCGATGAGCGAGATGGCATAACCTCGATGAAGGTATAGTCTGTCACAGGATGTATCAGAAGCTAGTTGTGTCAGTACTGAGATAATAGAGCTTACCAGATGGTGAACCAACGCTGGCTGAGGAGTCATCGGCGGTAGCAGGAGATTCAGGGTAAGACTGGAGTCTCGATGAAGTTGGAACACCCGTTGACGCTTGGCGGGACTGTTGTGTTGTCGGCAGAGACGAGGGCGGAGCGAGCGAGTGACACGGCGAAAGGGGCGTTGAGGGAGGGAGATGTGACTGGATTCCAAATAGAGACAACGGTGGAGGTTGGGAGGAAAGGTAGCTGACAGCGGATAGCACGAAGGAGTCGCTATGAGAGCCGTCGAAGGCCTGGACGGTCCGTACATCTTTGGAGCAGATCGATCCATAGAGGACCCGATGGTGTCTGTGTACGCGGTCCGCATCGACCGCGGTGCTAGGGTTCGCCGTCTGTTTTGCAATGTCGGGAGACGAGCCAAGTTGAGAGCGGCCCGTCACCATTCCGACGGGACTACCTCGAGGGCCCATATACGGACTTGAAGGTACTAAGACCTGTATGAACATGTGAAACAGGCCACATTATGAAGTGGATAGGAAACAAGAGTGATATGGCTCACCAATACTGAAGCGACCCCTGCACGTCAGGCCTAGCACTTTCGCTGCCAGTGTATTCTCCCTCAGTAAGCGCCCATTCGTCATACGGACGTCCACTTGCCTCTCGCGTTGGTCGTGGTCTCAGGAGAGCGAGACCTTCAAGCTTCAAGGTGATGGTGACGAACGTAGCCGTAGGCGCGATTGCCCCTGACTGCGAGGCGTGGGATCGCCGACAACCCGATCGGAGGTTTGCGCATGACGATCGGGTCAATTCCCGCAGTTGCGAATAAGTCGCCAGCGCGAGATGCGCTCTCGTAACATTGCCGCTCCTCAGTCAAGAATGACCGACAGAAAGCCGAGATGTAAGGCTTATGTATATGATACGTCGAGACACCCACTATGATACGCATGCGAGAATTCAGGCGTACAATCAACATATAGCGAAATTCGTGGGCAAGAATCCTGTCGTATCAACGGTACGCCTTCCGAGTCGAGCGGCGATGAAACCTTCCCCGCCAGGCGGGGCGTGATATAGTCAGGGTTACCCGGCATAGCTGTAGTGTGCACAACAGGGAACCATTGTGCATAGACGGGTGACTTGACTTCACGTCCTGTAGCGTGACTATGCGTGCAGCGGGAGGCGGTACGCAAGAATCACGATAGTAAAGTCTAAGCAAACAACGGTGGGGTCTGACGTCGGCTGGAACCTGCTCACTCGAGTGCGCGAAGGAACCAATGCTGCGGCGCGTGCTGGCGCTGTAAGGATGAGAATCGTTCGAACTCGCCCGCGACATTAACATGATTCTTCACTGTAGGCTCCTCGTGCGGAGACTTGGTCCAATGACCATGAACAAAATCTGTATACATTCCTACATATAGCGAACAGGGAAGACACTGAACAGACGCTTAGCACTAAGGAGTGGTGCCATTCTGGCTTCCTCGACGAGAGCGGGATGCACGTACCTGAAACGAGATTGTCGGCTCGAACAGGCTGGTCGTTCCTATGTAGTTAAGCGGTCCATGCGGGAGCCGGTGTAATCGGCGGCTGTCAATTGGGAATGGCGGTAGAGCAGTACGAATTAGCACAAACTATGACATCCTTGCGCGCAACGCATCTGTAAATTATCCATGGATCTCCTTGATGAGTAGTTTGATGCGGCCATTCCCCTTCAACGAGGTGTATGCAACCACCGGCCCAGCCAAGCCGGAGGTCAACGGGTTGAGGATGAGCAAAGTACCGGGCTCACAGCGAGTAGTACTAGTACAAAGTAGGATCGAGGGGGCCGACCCGGATGCCATACTAGCCACCTTCATCGTGAGTTGATGAACGGCGACGGCCGATAATTTTGCTAGCAGGTGCGTCCTAGAAAGATAGCGTCGAGCCCGTCGGTCTAGGTAAGTAGGCCCGTCGAAAGAAGGTAAGTGCCTCGGTCGAGACTGCCGCGCTGCCTGCGTCGAATCCAGTGAGAACACCGCCCTCGTCGGCAGCAGTCGTCGAGCTCGCCGGCCCATGCGAACCTGTCGAGCGGTCGAGGCGCGCGCCTTGAGAACATGATACCGCCGGTCCGGCCGGGCTGATCGGGACGA